AGCTAGACCGAGTTCAGGACCAGAAGGCCCCAGCGTGGCCAGGCCCTGCCTCCATCATGTCCCCAGGTCTCCACAGCGAAGCCTCTGAAGGCTCCAACTCCTTTGTGTCCGCTCTGCTGGGTGAGCAGTGAGGCGCTGCTCTCCACTGACTGATGTCTGAGCCCCACAAGGGGCCAGTCACGTAAGTTTGCGGTTTTTCTGCCTAGGGTTGCCAGATCAAATACAAGGTGTGCAGTTAAATTTAAATTTCAGATAAGCAAATAATTTTCTTAGTGTAAAATTAAAAGACAGGGAGGAGGAAGAAGGGGTAAACATTCCCTGAAGTGAGGGTTCACACTAAAGACACAGAGTTTAAGCCGGGCGGGGTAGCTCATGCCTATAATCCCAGCACTTTGGGAGGATCACTTGAGGTCAGGAGTTCAAGACCAGCCTGGTCAACATGGTGAAATCCCGTCTCTACAGAAAATACAGAAATTAGCCAGGCATGGTGGTGCATGCCTGTAATCCCAGCTACTTGGGAGGCTGAGGCAGGAGAATCACTTGAACCTGGAAGCTGGAGGTTGCAGTGAGCTGCGATCGTGCCACTGCACTCTAGCCTGGGCAATAGAGCGAGACTCCATCTCAAAGAAGAAGGAGAAGGAGAAGGAGAAGAAACAAGAGTTTAAACCTGAAATGACATGAAGACCTAGGCGACTGGAGAGAGAGAATCGGAGAAAGTTGTGTCACTACACCATGGAGTCTTTGTGGTGATTGAAGTCCGTTCAGCACAGGTGCTCAGGACCTGTGGACCTGGGCAGAGGGCATTGTAACCAGCTAGAGAACAAGAGAGGGCCGAGACAGCTTATCTCTGTTTGACAAGGCCTGGCATTATGGTGAGGACTGAGCATTTTAATGAGTGTGGATCTCAGCCAGCTATTTAATTTTTAGGGCCCACTGTAAAATGAAAATGCGAGACCTCTAGTTCAAATTTATTAGGAGGTGTGGTGGCACGTGCTTGTAGTCCCAGCTACTCGGGAGGCTGAGGGGGAGGATCATTTAAGCCCAGGAATTTATGGTTGCAAAGAGCTACTGCACACTACTGAACTCCAGCCTGGGTGATGGAATGAGATCCCGTCTCTTAGGAAAAAAAAAAAAAAAAAGTAGGCCGGGCACGGTGGCTCATGCCTGTAATCCCAGCACTTTTGGAGGCCGAGGCAGGCGGATCACGAGGTCAGGAGATCGAGCCCATTGTAGCTAACATGGTGAAACCCCGTCTCTACTAAAAATACTAGAAATTAACCAAGCGTGGTGGCACACACCCATAGACCCAGCTACTTGGGAGGCTGAGGCAGGAGAGTCGCTTGAACCTGGGAGGCAGAGGTTGCAGTGAGCCAAGATCGTGCCACTGCACTCCAGCCTGGGCGACAGAGGGAGACTCCATTAAAAAAAAAGAAGAAGAAAGAAAGAAAAGTATTTAATAAAAAAAAAAAAAATAAAGAAATTTAGTAAAAATTTCAAGATGCCAAGAGCCGAGTGTTAAACCAGCTGGGGGGGCTCTTAGCACCAGGTGCTGTGTGAAAACATGGCTCAGAAGCAAGGGAACCCAACCCTGGCATAGGCTTAAACTGCTGCTGTTTAGCAAGGAGTGGGCACTGCAAACTGGAGGGTAATTCCTCCCCTGCTTGGGGGCCGGCCTCTGGAGGAACCTCACTGTTTGCACTTGGAGTTGAGGGGCATCCTGCCCTTGAGCCTCCATCCTTTATTTTGTTTGTTTTGAGACAGAGTCTCACTCTGCTGCCCAGGCTGGAGTGTAGTGGCACAATCTCGGCTCACTGCAACCTCCGCCTCCCAGGTTCTCCTGCTTCAGCCTCCTAAGTAGCTGGGATTACAGATGCCTGCCGCCATACCAGGCTAATTTTTGTATTTTTAGTAGAGACAGGGTTTCACTATGTTGGCCAGGCTGGTCTTGAACTCCTGACCTGAGGTGATCTGCCCGCTCAGCCTCCCACAGTGCTGGGATTACAGGCGTGAGCCCCCGCGCCTAACTGAGCCCCTCATCTTACTGCTGCAGGAAGGAATATCATTCCCTGGCTTGGCTATGGCCACGGCCACTGTACAGGGTGGCAGGACAGGGACATCTGCTCAGGGTTTCTATGTTTCTATGTCACCCCTCCCACCCCAGTAACTGAATTCTGGGGAGCTCTGACCCAAGGAGGGAAAGGGGCAGCATCTTTTCTCCTTGATTAGGGGGCTTTCTGGAGCTGGGGGAGAAAGCAGGCGGGCATCTGGCAGGGCCATGATGGGAGCCCACGACTCCAGCTTCCCTGGGAGGCAGGGTGAAGTGCTCAGGGATGAAGGGAGAAGGGAAGTCAACTTTCCCTCCTGGACGATGCCACAGGGAGACAGGAGGGAAAACTGAGGAGGGAGTGTCAGGTTGCCACTTGGCTCCAGAGGCTGCAAGGTGGGGCCCTTCTTCCTGTAGCATTCCTGGAAGGTTTGCCCAGGGTCCACGTGTTCCCAGGCATCCTGGCTGCTGAGCCTGTGGGTACGTGGCGGCTCTCACTAACAGGCCAGCTGATGCCAGCAGTGCCACTTCTAAAATGGGCAGGGGATGCGTTAGCCTCCAGGCCAGACTGCAGACAGTTGGGACATGCAAGAACAGTGCAGAAGGAAACAGGAGACTTAGTGCCTCCACCTGGGGAATGAGAGGGGTGAGTGCATGTGAGGATCAGGTGGATTAAAACATGTCAGGTGTCTAGCAGCATGTGGCCGACAGAAGTGCTAAAAAGTGCTACTTAGCATTAATCATTATTATTAAGTATTATCATGAACGTTTCTCTTTATGGAGAAAGCTTTGTGTAAACCCCTTACTATTAATTATTGTTAATTATTTTCAATGTTCTCTCTCCTTGGACACAGCTCTACGTCTCTTGTTTCTGTTACCTTCACCTTGGCATCTCCCACACCTACATCTACTGGCTCAATTAACACTTAATAAATGTTATTTTTCAAAAACATTAATTTAAATACATCTCAGTAAAATGAACCATTCAAAATGGGAGGATACTGATAAAGTAAAATGAGATCACGCCAAGCAACTAAATTGCTTTTTTAAAAAAAGATTAAAGTAGCAGTTCAGAATCACCACAAAAACCTGGCTTTTTTCTCTTGTCAACAACTGGACTATGACTAAAAATAAAACCCCCCAAATTCAATGCTTGGGTATATTTTATGACTGGGATTCAGCTTTTATTTAATTTCTCTTCTTAAAAAATATGCTGTTTTTGGTTAAGATGAGCATAACTTAGTTTTACATAGCTAAAAGTAAACAGACACCAGTGGGTTTTCCTGGAAAGGGCCCAGAACTCGGGCATGGCTGGACGCTGGTTCTCGTTGGTTCCAGGCTGGAGAGCCCCCAAAATAAGTCCTGAGAGATGGGTGTTTAATGTGACCTGAGATCTCCAGCCTCCACCATTTAGTGGCTTGGCTCGTTTCTGGCTACGTGGCCTTGGGAATTCCCTTCCTCCACGTGGTCCTTGTGCCTTGTCAATAATGGTGTAATAAAACTATAAAAAATTAATTAGAAGCCTCGGGGGCAAGTATTAATAGCTAGAAAGCTTGAGAATGCCATAGAAATATAAATCATGGTGCACTGAGTGTGTATCTTCCATATATTTTTCATCCACAGAGACTCAGGAAGGGGAAGGTGGACAAGGTTTAGCATGTTTTAAGCCTTCTATGCTCCTCCTACAGGGCTACAGCTCCCAGTATGAGAGAGGAATTTACATTTTTTGAATGCCTTCCCATTTAATTCACTTAATTTAATTTGCAGAGCACACCATGTGCCTTAGGAAGGTGCAGAAACTGAGATCCAGGTTCTGTGGGATCTTACTTCAGGTTACATGAGTTGCCTGAGATCACACAGGTGGTTTGTAAAAACAAATCGATGCTAAGATGCCATTCATCTGTCAGCCCCATGTGCAGTGGTTCTCAGCCCAGGGAGATTTTGCCCCCAAGGGGACGTTTGGCAATGTTTGGAGATGGTTATGATTGTCACTGCTTGGGTGGGGGAGGGAGGGTGTCACTGACATGGGTAGAGATCAGGGGTGCTGCTGAACATCCTGCAATGCACAGGACAGCCTCCCCTAACATTTCAAGCATTGTCCAAAATACGAATAGTGCTGAGGTTTAGAAACCCTCTCTATGGGCGCAGTGGCTCATGCCTATAATCCCAGCACTTTGGGAAGCCAAGGCAAGTGGATCACCCGAAGTCAGGAGTTCGAGACCAGCCTGGCCAACATAGCAAAACCCTGTCTCTACTAAAAATATGAAAATTAGCTGAGGATGGTGGCGGGCACCTGTAATCCCAGCTACTTGGGAGGCTGAGGCAGGAGAATTGCTTGAAACCGGAAGGCAGAGGTTGCAGTGAGCTGAGATGGCGCCACCGCATTCCAGCCTGGTGACAGAGCAAGACTCTGTCTTAAAAAAGAAAACAAAAAAAAAAGAGAAGAAACCCCGTGCTAAACAATTGCAGAAGTAGTGGGGCGGGAACGTCTCTTACTCTGTCTGGGCTGTGTATGTGTTTCTAAGAGAAATGCTTCACTGGAGGTCTGAGAGTGCTAGGCCCCGGTTACTCAAACTGTTGTCCCTGGATCAGCAGCAGCCTGGAGCATGTTAGAAACGCAGGCCTCTCCCTGGACTTAGACTTCCAGAACCTGCATTTTAACAAGCTCCCACATGATTCATGTGCTTGTTAAAGTTCGAGGAGGACAGGGTCTGATTCATTCCAGGCTGAACGGCCCGCAAACCAGCCCTGAGAGATGGGCATTTAACTTGTCCTTAGCTCTCACCAGGGCTAAGACCCATGCCAGGGCTTCAGGGACTGACAGGCTCTCTTGAATCTGCCCTGCTCCCCCTCCTTTGATTGTCACGTGAGCCCTGGTGGTTGGGGAGGAAAAGCGCATCTGAACTGGCTTATGATAACCTTTCCCGCTTTCCTCCCTGCCTCATCCCCTCCCCAGGCCTACATCCTGCTGGGACAATTCCTTCTGATGCACAAGAATGAAGCCGAGTTTCAGAGGTGGCTCATCTGCTGTTGTGGTGCCACTGAGTGTGAGGCCCAGCAGAGTTCTAACTGCCTCAAGGAGTGGTGCGCCTGCTTCCTGTAGACACAAGCCTCATCGCTGCCCCCCACCCCCTGGGGAAAATGACACCCTCTCCACCTATGCCCAGGCTCTGAGTCCTCATTTGTGTTTTTAATTGTAATGATACACTCCCATTATAAACAGTGGGTCAAGAACAGAACACAGGACAAATGCAAGAGAAATGACTCCCAAACCCACCACCCAGAAACCGTAGTCACACCCTTTAGATGAATATCGTGTCAAATATCTTTCAGCAAAAAAATCTGTATGAAAAAATGGATAATTTTATTTAAAAACAGGAATGGAATTTTAAGTCAATGTATTAGTGATCTATTGCTGCATAACAAATAATCCCAACATGTAGCAGCTTCTCACAACAAACAATGATGCTATCTCACAGGGTTTCTGAGGGTCAGGAACCTGAGAGTTGTCAGGAACCTGCCAGCTGGTTCTGTCTCAGGGTCTCTCATGAGGTTATTCCCTGTTGGCCCAGCAGCAGTCTGAAGGCTGGACCAGGGCTGGAGGACCCACCTCCAAGATGGCTGCCTCGGATGGCTGCTGGCAAGATATCTTGGTTCCTCACCACGTGGGCCTTCCCATCGGACTGCTCGTGGCATGGCATCTGGCTTCCCCCAAAGCTGGTAACTCAAGAGAGAAAGAGAGAGTGCAAGCAGGAAGCCACAGTGCCTTTTATGACCTTGTCTCTGACACATACTCACTTCTGCCTTATTCTATTTGTTAGGAGCAAGTCACTAAGTCCTCCAGGGAGGATAATGAAACATTCTTCAAATAATATGCATACGCATTTTAAAAATCACAGTTTCTTGAGGCCTCATTTACATATAGTAAAACTTACCCTTTTCAGGTGTGCATTCTATAAATTTTGACAAATTCACCACCATAATCAAGATGTAACACACTGTCATTACCCCAGGAAGTTCCCTCGTGCCTCTCTGTAGTCATCGCTTCTCCCTTCCCAGCCCCTGGCAACCATGAATCTGTTTTCCATCCTTACAGCTTAGATTTTTCCAGGAAGTCATATAAATGGAATCGTATAATATGTAACCTTTTCAGGTGGGCTTCTTTCACTTAGCATAATTCATCTGAGATTAGTCTATTATATAGGCTTTTTAAACTCTAAAAAGGTTTATTAGATGCTATCGGTGCCCGGCCCACATCCTTTTGGTATTTGTGTTCTGGTAGAGTCCAGTGACTTCCCCTAGCAAACACCTGAATGTCTTCTGCCTGAGGGTCTCCCTGGCTACAAAAGCGGGATCAGCCCACACATAGGGCGGAGGGAAACTGGCAAGCAGTTGATGCCCAGTAGAGCCCACAGTGATGGGTGAATAATGATGGATAAATGTCCTAGCTTACCCTGCAGATAGGACAAACTCTGAGACAGTCTGTTTGAGCTCCCTAGTGGTATTGAGCCCTAGTTTCCCACAGTGGTCACCTGCTCTTGAACAGCTCATACTTCTTTCCTTCCTTGTCTTATTTCCCCACTCCACTACCAGTGTTTCCTGGGATCATCCCCCTACTCCTACTCCCTAGAAAATACTCAAATTTTAGATTCAGGTTCTGCTTCTGGGAGAACCCAACCTAAGACAAAAGTGTTGGAATTTAGTTTTATTTTAATGAGAGAAAAAATTGAAACTGAAAGAACTGTTGAAATTTGATGAATTTTTTCTTCATCTCTGAATGTAGTCATAAATTATTCAATTTCCTTCGAATTTCAGAATAATATTGAGGAAAACAGAGGTTCATATCATTAGGTTTATTTTAAACTCTGGTTTTCAGTGAAAGATCGTGTGATGGCTAATACTGAGTGTCAACTTGATTGGACTGAAGGGTGCAAAGTATTGATCCTGTGTGTGTCTGTGAGGGCATTGCCAAAGGAAATGAACATTTGAGTCAGTGGACTGGGAAAGGCAGACCCACCCTTAATTTGAGTGGACACCATCTAATCAGCTGCCAGTGAGGCTAGAATATAAAGCAGGCAGAAAAATGTGAAAAGACTAGATTGGCCTAGCCTCCCAGCCTTCTTCCATGCTGGCTTCGTGCCCTCGAACATCGGATTCCAAGCTCTTCAGTTTTGGGACTCAGACTGGCTCTCCTTGCTCCTCAGCTTGCAGACAGTCTATTGTGGGACCTTGTGATGATGTGAGTTAATAAACTCCCCTTTCTGTCCCTCTAGAGAACCCTGACTAATACAGATGGTATGAATTCCTGCTATAAAAGTAAAAAGAAATTGATATTCATGATTCTTCTCTACTTTCCTCTCACTTTTATCAGCTTTACTATTACTTTTAATTTGTCAAAGTTTATAGCATTTACATTCTTCCCACAATTGTTTAGTCCTAGTTGTATATCTAAGAGCTTATCACCAATCCTTGTTAGTATCATTATTTTAAAGATCATATCTTTGTCATTCCTGAATTATTTATTTTGATAATGTCTTTATTGGCTGACTTGCATCAGTGTATCTATCTGTCAGAATAGGCCAGGTTCTGCTTCTGTAACAAACTTTCCCCACGTCTCAGTGATTTATCCAACACAGGTTGACTTCTTTCTCATGCTATGTGTCCAGTACATGTCATCAGGGAGCTCTGTCTCCCTGAGGCTAGTCACTCTGAGGCTTTGGTTAATGGAGATACCCTCTCAACACACACTTCCATGATTACCACTGTGGTGGGAAGGAGCCATGCTGAATGACATACTTACTGTCTGTAAAAGCCTCTGTCTCAAAGTAACACATTCTATTTGCACTCACATTTCATTGACCAAAGGAAATCATATGGCCACACCTAACTCCAAAGGGGCAAAGTCCCTTCTGAATGCAGGAGAAGGGGGAACATTTAGTGGCAGCACTAATCAAGATCACTGTCATCAATTAAGTTTATAACTTTTTTGCTTGCTAATGTTTTCTTGAAAAAACAGAAACCAACCAAAGGTTATTATTTTTCTCCTGAAAGCATTGCAGGTATTATGTTTAAGGTGATTAATATTTCCTAAATTTGTAAAGTGACTAGAATATTTCTACTGGAGTCTGTTAGCTCTTTCTAGCTCTGCTTTTCTTGCTCTCTCCAAGGAGAAACCAAAGAATCAAGAATTCCAGGAGAGCCAGTGTGGCCCAAAGATTTAAATAGCTTCATCTTCTGAGAGCTCTGGGTCTCAACAGCCAGAAGCTTTCCTTTGCTACTTCTTGCATGGCCCACCCTTTGACTAATTCTTCACTGAAATAGTCATGGTATTTAGAGGTCACTAATTTTCTAAGACATAAGCTGGATGGCTCCAGGGAAAGGAAAGAGAGAGGTACCTTCATCTCTCAGTCTATTTCCACATGCCTCCAACATTGCTGAAATTCATCCTTCTAGCCGAGTTGATGTCCAGGATCACGTAGGAGGACCAGGGAGCTGAGAAACCTGGAAGAGATGGGGCCCCCAAGACTGAAAAGCCTTTATAAGATGGACCCTATCACAGATATTGAAGACAAGAGTAGCTGTTCCCTATTTAGTGTAAACATCTTCCCAAAGGCACTAGGAACTTTCCCCATCAGTCTTTCATTCCCTGTGTTGATTTTTGTCATCTTTGTAGATAAAATTATTGGTCTAAATTCTTCCCTTCTCCCTGCATTCCCCATGTTTGTCATGTGACTTTGCAGTTCCTCCCACTAGAGGCAGAGTGTAACTCCCAGCTCCGTGACTTAGACTTGGCCATATGACTTGCTTTGGACCATGGTATGTGGCCAAAGTGGAAGTGTGCCAGTTCTGAGCCCCATCACTCATTTCTACTTGCTCTCTTGTGCCTCCAAAAGGAGAGTTACTCCCTTGTATAACTGCTGCCCCTTCAGCCTGGGCTTCAGAATGAAACCAGGTGAAGCTGACCGGAGCCAACCTGCTGCTGGGACCCAAGGCCAGCCAGCCCTGCAGCTTGATGCAAAGCCGCCCAACTGAGCCCAGCCTACATCAGCCAACCCTCAGCCAACTCATAGGTTTGCGAAGGAGAACAAAGGATTGCTATTTAAAGCCAGTGATGTTTGGGACAGTTGGTTATGCAGCAATAGCTAACTGATACATTCTTTATAGTCTACAATGTCCTTACCCTGTCAAAGTGTGCCACATCGAAGGCCAACCCAGCCTTTAGATGGAGAAGTAGCCTAGGGTGGGGTGAAAAACTTTGCTTCTGGAGCCAGCCAGGCGTGGGTGTGAATTCCAGTTCCACCAATCCCTACCTTATCCTGGGTGAGCTACGTCAACCTTGCTGAGCCTCTGTCTCTTCATCTGTAAAATGGGTCAAGAAGGTAACAACCCTGCCTTGCAAGGTGGATCAACAAAAATGCACATGTAGACCAGGCACAGTGGCTCACGCCTGTAATCCCAGCACTTTAGGAGGCCGAGGTGGGTGAATCACTTGAGGCCAGGAGTTCGAGACCAACCTGGCCTGTCTCTACTAAAAATACAAAAATTAGCTGAGTGTGGTGGCACATGCCTGTAATCCCAGCTACTCAGGAGGCTGAGGCAGGAGAATCACTTGAACCCAGGAGGTGGAGGTTGCAGGGAGCTGAGGTCACGCCACTGCACTCCAGCCTGGGTGACAAAGCGAGACTCTGTCTCAAAAAAAAAAAAAAAAAAAAAAAAGCAAGCACATAAAGGATAAGGTGAATAGGAACATCATGAATGACCACTAATGGCTGTTTTCTTAGAGTTCTCCTTCCAGTCCTTGCCTCTTGCACTCTTGGTCCTCTCATGGCCCTTGGGAGAGAATTCACAGCTGTGAGTTGAAAGGGAGCCGAGATATCAACTTATCCAAACTAGTCCAATTTTGTCCCACCATGTGAGTACTGGACACTGTATAGCTTAAGGACTATACACTCTTTAATGAGCAGGTAAGAAATAGCAACAGATGAAAATCAAGTTATCTCAGATTTTGACTGTGGTCTTGTAGGGTCCCACTAGCCCACTGATCCCCAAATACATTTTGCAGTGTGCACAACAGGAGTGGGCTTGCACACACACCCCCAGTCCTGCCAGTGGCACCTCTTCTGCTTCTCGGGGCCATTGATTATTTGGGAAAGGGTTAG